GGTACGGGGCGAGGCATTGCAGAGAAAACATTGTTATTGTCCTTCCTTGCTTCAGCATTCTTTCCTTTTCCTTTCTTTTCCTTTTCTTTTTTTCTTTCATCCTACAAAGCCCCCCTGTGCCCTTCATCCACGCTTCATTCCTTGTGTTTTCATCACTCACAAAAAAGTCAGGTTTGGAGGAGGGAGGAGGACGAGGGGAAGCTGTGAATTTGCTTTCACTATCTCAGTAAATTTCATACTAGATGGTTCAGGGAAACACATAACGTACATATCTGTACATGTGCACTTGCCTGTACATGCAGTATGTACTGTATTTGCCCAGATTGCTGCATTTATGAGTGGTGTGTATGATGTACTTGTGAATTTTTGTGAATTTAATAACTACTTACTCACCTGCCTGGTCAAACTAACACACTAGACCTCCATTGTAATATTCCAGTGAATCACACTGTAGTAACTCATCTCTTCATCCGCTTTAACTCCCATTCTCTACCGTTGTCTTTCAAGACCTCCTTAAGTGCCTCAGAATACAGTACCGGTCAAAAGTCTGGACACACCTACACACACACACACACACACACACACACACACACACACACAAATGTATATATATATATATATATATATATATCCATTTATCTCTGCTGTTGGATCAAAACCTTGTATCTCCAAAATGAGAACTGCACAGGAGACTTTAAAAAACATACTCTACTATTAATGAAAGTCAACGTAACCAGACCTTTTTCCAAGTTATTTTGGGTCATTTCTGCTGGTCCATTCATCATGAAATTTATACACAATATATAGGGCCACAGGTACTTTCAAAATTATGTCAAAACCTGAAAAATGACAAAAATACATATATATATATATATATATATATATATATATATATATATATATATATATATCTCTGCTGTTGGAACAAAACTTCGTATCTCCAACATGAAGAGCAACTGCCTTTTTCAAATTATGTCAAAAACTGAAAAAAACAATCTTTGCACACCCTTGGCCTTCTCTCAAGCAGCTTCCTGAGGTGCCATCTGGGACACTTTCCCAACAGGATTGAAAAAGATACCTATATTGTCACTGTCATTAGAAAATCTCATCTCCAAAAACCTACCAACTCTTTTTCCAGTGGTGGTGATAGGAACAAGAGTTTGTGCTGATATAACCATTTTAGTTACTATCGAAAACCACCAGTGCACCACCTTGTTGTGTTTTTATATGTAATGTTGATACAGGCTCAGTTCTGCGGGTGCAAAAGCATGCACTGCATTGTCAGGTTGATTTTTTTTAGCCTGCTCTGGAGAAATTGCATTTAGCCAGCAGCGCTATCGCAGGCAGATAATTTTTATATATCTAAATCAGTTCTAGCAGCATAGTATGAAGACTAATTAACAGGGTTCAACATGAGGGGATGGGCTGGGAGGGTCCAGGCCTCCCCCTTAAGAGTGACGGGAATCCCCATAGGAGAGACAAAATTGAACTGCTGGAGCCAAGGTGGACGAGCGGCAATTTGACCCTCCACTTTTTAAAATACTGGGGAGACGCCCCACCAACTTGTTTGATTGAGTTCAGATTAGAAGTGCTGATCTAGGATCAGTTCCAGTCAGTAAAGTCAAAGTAAATAAGAGAGGAATCTGATCCTAAATCAGTACTTCTACACTAAGAGGCTTTGTGAATACGGGCCCAGGCGCTCTCCCGAAACCAATCAAAATCTCCCTGTCAGCTGGGATGCTGGACATTTCCCAAACGCTGAAACCTTCGTGAGGTCGTGTTTAGTAAGCGGAGCTGCAGTTCAGTAATCTGGTAAAAAGGTTTTTACTGTAATGCACAGGCTAACGCACCTACATTCGCAGTTTTTACTACATTGTGTCAATGTGAATATTTCTTACTGCTACCGTGTTAAAGTAAGGCCGCTTTCAGACCTATCATGCTGCTGGTAACAGTAGCTAGCCATAGTTATTCAGTTAATGGCTTAGTTGCATTGTGTCAACACGCTGGGAGGTGTGATGCCACCCCTGAGTTGGCGGGGGGGATTTACTTAAATAAAAAAGTGAATTTTCTTACAAAATAAGGCTTCTGTAAACAGTGATAAAAAGTTAAAAGTTTTCTTTTAGGACTATTTTACCTCAGAACACCCTGTGTGTACCCATCCACCTTTTAGAAATACATTTTAGGCCAAAACTTTCTCTAAACTGTCATAAAACAATGTCTCAGACATCAGGCAGTGAATTCATAACCATCACATGTAATAATTTTCTGTGAGGGAGCTTTTAGAGGTGGATGTCTGGTTCCTATCACCACCACTGTGAACAATTCTGACTCGTTTCTCTAGAACAGAGCATTTCACACCAAAACACTCCGAATGACTCTTTTTACATTTTAATTATAGAGAAACTTAGAAAATGTCTAACATCTGCTGATGTATTGAGATTTTATTGCAGTTCATTTTTGACCATTTTTGCTGGTCCATTCATCATAAATTGTTCACACAGCAGCCTTTATTCATCATACTTGCATTCAATCAAATCTGATTAAAAATAAGTGAATTTCACTGACACATTTGTTATTCATTGATTTTATCTTTGTCGTATCCTATGATCAAACTCACATCTGGTAGGAGTGTGTGAAATTATGTGCATAGTAGTTTTACAACCAAAAAATTGTCATTCTATGCTATAATACAATAATAATAGGAATAACTAAAAATATGTACACCAGTACAGAGTGGATGTACTTATTTTACATGCACATTGATGTAAACAAAAGCTGCAACTACTCAAAAAGTTCCATTTAAAGACATTTTACACTGTGCTTTTGTTTTATAATACTGACTCTGCCCACAAAATAAACAATACAGTGCAGAAGCATCCCACACCCTGCAATAATGCAACATTAAATATGTTATTGTAGGAAAATAATCAAATGACACTATTCCTTCCAGTGGTCATATTTTTAACACTACAAAGTTTGGTCAGAAGGGGGAGCAGCGCACTCACTGACCTCAAACTCCACCTACGAGCACGGCCATTGGCTCACAAGCTGCTGAACGCAGTCGCTTTATTGGCTCCCTACCAAAACGTCGGCATGAATTAAGGCGCACTTCATGTAAATATGTAAATGAGGTGCTGGTAGGCTGGCGCTTGATTTCACGCACTGAAGCTGATTCATCATTTGTGCTCCAATCTGCGCTTTCATGATTCAGAAGCAGAGTACTTCATACGTCACTAAAGGCCGTCAAATCTGCACTCTTTTTACGCAGCTTTGATGAATAAGGGCCAATGTCTTTTCTTACGATAGCAATGCTAAATGACAATATGGTGTCTACTTACTTGATGAGGGGCCATTTCAAGAAAATGTACATTTCTGTCCAGGGAAGTTGACTGATAGGCATCAACTTAGCTATTTATACTTAGCTTAAAGCTTTGGATCAAAATGTCTTTAATATTATGAAAAACATACATTCAATCTGGTGTGTCCAAACGCTTGACTGGTGCCGTAGTTCTGAATGGTGAAAGCAACGTTTTCTGGACGTTGCGTATAAGAACAGCTTGGGTTATTGCTGACATTAATTGAGTTCCCAAATACAGCGATCAGAGACGCCTTCTCTGAGCGCAGCTCGAGAATTACGGCGTCTCGGCAGGCCGGGAGCGGCCGCTAAATCCTCCAGCAGAGCATTAGCATCAGACAGAGCAGCTCAGCGGCAGTTTACACTAATCAGACACGACACAGAGCGGAGGAGGCGGTGGGGGAGAGGAAGAGCGATACGGAAAAGGGATAATTGAATTGAGATATTGGAGAGGGAGGACAGGGCGAGAGTCAGACGGGACAGGTGAGAGGAGCAGGGGAGGGAGGGAGGGAAAGGTCAGCAGGGCAGGAATTGAAGGAATGAAGGAATGAGAGAAGACGGAGGCATAAATGTGGAGAATTAACGTGGTGGAAGAGATGGAGCGACAGTTTTGTTAGGGTCTGACGTGGTGGCGACAGTTTTGTTAGGGTCTGACGCGGCGGCTTTGTCAGACGTGCTGAGGTTGAATACGTGGTTCCAGTCGCTGTTCCTGACTTGACCGATGCTCCTGCCTAACTTTGCTCTCTTTCTCTTTTTCTTCATCTCTCCATCGTGGCCTCTCTGTCCCCCCATGCTGGAATGTGTCGAAATGTCTGCACTCTCACTGCCTTTGCCCACTTCCTTTCAAATATGTATCGCCATGTTTCTTTCTCTCTCTCGTCTGATGCCTCCCCCTCGTCCTGTCCTCTTTTCATCCTCTGTTTTTTTCCCCCGCTCCTGAAATCCACCTCTCTGTGATCCTACCTGCCCTGATTTTACACTTTCTTTTTCCTCCTTTACTCTCCTCTTCCTTTTTCCTCATTTCCTCATTCCATGCCCGTTTTTATTTTTATACCTGTTTTTTTCCTCTTTACTTTCCATTTTTATCTTTTTATCCCTTTTTATCTTTTCCTTTTTTCCTCTTTGCAACGTTTGCTTTTCCTCTTTATACCCCTTTTTCCTTTTTATTCCTTTTTTATACTTTCCTTACATTTACATTTGAACCCCATTTTTTCCTTTTTATTACTTTTTTGTCTTTGATTTACTTTTTTTATATTTATTTCCTGTTTTTTTTCCTCTTTATACACTTTCTTTACCCTTTCCTTTTTATGTCCCATATCCCATTTCTTCCTCTATCTGCTTTTTTACTGTTTATACCTGCTTTCTTTTCACACTTCCTCTTTATCTTTGCTTTTCTTTTATTTGCTTTTCCGTCTTTACTGTTTCCTTTCATCCCTTTACACTCCACACCCACTCTCTTTATTTCCTCTCCTCATTTTTCTTTTTTATACTCCTTTTCCTATTTCCTATTTTTTGCCCCATTTCTCTTTCCTTTTTCCTCTGCACACCTCACATTGCCTGTCGCTTTTCCTGTCCCACTATCCATCTCTCTCTCGTTTTTTGTTCCCCATAACTCGGCCCCTGTGCTCTGTGCATCGGGGCCCAGTTTTGGGGACACGTCCCTGTCCACCACTTCCACCCTGGAGCACATCCCGTCCTCGGCCGTTCGCCCCAGGCCCCTGGTCAGGCAGCAGAGCCTCCAGCAGCCCCTAACCCACCAGCCCCCGCCAGGGCCCAACGACCCCCCAGCCACCTCCCAGAGCCTGGGCCAGTTGCACACAGGGCCCGGGGGTGGGGGCCACCGGGGGGGCCCGCGGGGGGTGCGTGGCAGTGGCAGCCCGGCTGGGGCGGGGGCGTCACGCTACAGGACGGGCGGAGGGGCACGATCGCGCTCAAACCCGGGCAGCTGGGACCACATGCTGGGCCAGATCCGCAACAGAGGGATGGATGTCAAATCTTTTCTGTGAGTACAATTCAGTTCCTTGTGACTTGTGACTTGACTCCTACCTGCATAAAGTGACCTGTGATCATTCTTTATGTTTTACATGTTTAAGAACATCAAGTGTTCAATCTGGGGCGGCACGGTGGCGCAGTGGGTAGTGCTGTCGCCTCACAGAAAGAATGGCCTGGGTTCGATTCCCGGCCGAGCGACCAGGGTCATTTCTGTGTGGAGTTTGCATGTTCTCCCCGTGTCTGCGTGGGTTTCCTCCGGGTACTCCGGTTTCCTCCCACAGTCCAAAAACATGCAGTCAGGCTGAATTGCCCCTAGGTGTGAGTGAGTGTGTGATTGTGTATGTCTGTCTGTCTGCCCTGCGATGGACTGGCGACCTGTCCAGGGTGTATCCTGCCTTCCGCCCAATGACAGCTGGGATAGGCTCCAGCACCCCACCGCGACCCAGAAGGATAAGTGGTTTAGATGATGTATGTATGTAAGTGTTCAATCTCCAGATATCGCACATCTCAGCTAATGACATATCACTCAGTAAACACTCCTATAAACAAAAAAATGAGATATTCATCCATAAACAGTCTCAGTAAACTAGAACAGGAGATACTAATCCATTAACAATTTTAAGCAATGCTCCTATACACTATGAAATGTCATATTAGTTCATAAACATCCTCAATAAACACTCATATACACTATAATTTAAGATAATAATCCACAAACAACCTCAATAAACAGTCCTATACACTAGAACAGAAGATATTAATCCACAAACAACCTCAATAAACAGTTCTATGCACTAGAATAGAAGATATTAATCCACAAACAACCTCAATAAACAGTCCTATACACCAGAATAGGAGACATTAGTACATAGACAACCTCAGTAAATACTCCTATACACTAGAATAAAAGATATTAATCCACAAACAGCCTTAATAAACACTCCAATACATTAGAATAGGAGATATTAGTTCATAGACAACCTCAGTAAATGCTCCTATACACTAGAATAGAAGATATTAATCCACAAACAACCTCAATAAACAGTCCTATGCACTAGAAATGGGAATGTCATTTCATAAACATGAACTTTTGGCCTTATAGCAACTTTACACTCTGCCATGTGCTACTACTGTCTTTATCCTGCACTCATATTCACTTTCACTCTCTTTAATTAAAAGATACTTTTTAGTATTGTGCTTTTATTATTATTTTCTCAACTCACGTTCTTCTGCCTGTTCACGTACACACTGTGTCTGTAGTGTCCTCAGCCTGTCTGTACTGTGATCCTCCTGTACCCTATGAATATGTATTTCGCCGTGCGTGAATTGTGACCAGCATACAGTACATAGAAGTCCTCTTAACCTCATCCAGCACATTTGCATAGTCTTACCCAAACCTTACCCACCCTAACCGTCTATAGTTGCCCTGTGTTTATATTCACCATCTGCGCTGGACTTCACAGTTTTATCCATTGCATCCAGTTTAAAGTCCCTGACCTCTTTATGTCCTCCTCATGCATGCATGCTGCATCGCTGCTTTATATGTATGCTGTGTGGGTTCATCTTTGAAAGTTGTTTACAGCCAAATTTTTTTGGTTTTAGTCATTGTAATGAATGTTTTGGTCTCTGGGTGGCAGCTAAAATATCGGTACCTTTAATCCTGCCATAATACGCCCCTGCAAGGATACGCACATATCTGTTATTGTCTGTCTGCTGTGATTTGTTTTGTCTCTTTTCTGTCCGATCACTTGCTCATGCCTGGATTATGTTTTTTTGCTGTCCTATTACTTACTCATGCCTGGGTTTTGTGTCTTTTCTGTCCTATCGTTTGCTCATGCCTGTTTTTTGTCTTTTTTGCCCTATTGCTTGCTCATGCCTGGGTTTGGTCTTTTTTTGCCTTATCACTTGCTCTTGCTTGGTTTTGTTCTCTTTCTACCCTATCGTTTGCTCATGCCTGGGTTTGTTCTCTTTTCTACCCTATCACTTACTCCTGCCTGGGTTTTGTCTCTTTTCTGTTCTATCATTGGTTCATCTCTGTTACATTCATATCCTGAACACCGCTGATATATTTTTGAGAGCTTTTGAACTTGAGTTATAGAAGTGTAAAATGGCGCCTTGTGTACGTTCATGACGTCAGCGAGCGCAAACAGCCAATAAGCTGCTCTGCTCGCCAGCCAGTCAGCACTGAGCAGCAGTAATGTTAGCGTCCTGCTGCCCGAAACCATTTGCTGTAGAAAAAAATGAAACATACAGGTAAGTTTTCTTTGATTTTTTAGTGAAATACAAGCTTGTACATTCTAAAATTAAAGGAATGTTCTGGGCGAGTGATTAGAAACTATTTTAACTTTTCATTTTAGCCGTTTAGATCCATTTAGCTTGCTCACAGGCAACCTCTGCTGTTTTGCAGTCATGTTTTTGATATTACAGGGGAACTAGGGGGAGGCCGTGCTCCCCTTAAATCGGCTCTGCTCATGTTTGGTCTTTGTCTTTTTTGCCCTATCGTTTGCTCATGCCTGAGTTTGGTCTTTTCTCTGCCATATCATTTGTTCATGCCTGGGTATACTTTTTGTTATTAAGATTTTTTTTTAAATAAGATGTATAATAATGTTCTTTCCTTGGTTGAGAGGTTAGAGGACAGTTAAGGCAACTTTCTGGCAGGCTGTCTTTGGGTGGCCCTGCACTAGAAGCATGTACAAAATACAAAATACAGCATTTGTCATGTTGTTAAAACAAAAGCTTAACTGTAAAGTTTCTCTTTATTGCGTCGCTTCTGGTATAAAACAAGCTTGCATCAGCCTTTTAATCTTTGTTGTTCAGTGATTCACAGCGTGCAGGAGGCTGAGTAGCCTGAATATGCAGGCTATTCTTTTTTAAAGAGCCCATATCTTACACTTTTCTTGCATTTTATTTTTTTTTCCCTTGAGATTCACATATGATGCTTGTGTTGTTTTATGCATCAAAAACAGTTATAATTTATTTGTACTTGACCATTTTCCAAACTCTTTTTATCATTTAGACTTAAGCACGCTGCTTTAATTATTGTGTCTTTAAGATTGATAACATGTAAATAAGCTTTGCTCTGATTGGCTGCCTCATTCAAAAAGTCTAGGCTAAAAAAACTTTAGTATCAGTGGGCGGAGCTAAACTGCTGTATATATAGACCCTATATAGACCCTTTAAAGTGGAATTCCATCAAATTTTTAAAATTTAATCACTAAGATGTAAGTCATTCAGAGTGGTTTGGTGTGAAATGCTCTGTTCTAGAGAAACGTACAGAGTCACAGTTGTCCACAGTGGTGGTGATAGGAACCAGATGTCCAAATCTTTTAATAATTCTAAAAGCTACTGGAATGGATCTGGTTTATAATGTGTTGCTGATGTTTGAGACATTCTTTTATGATAGTTTTGAGAAGATTTTGGCCTAAAACATAAATCTTTATCCATTTATGGTGGAGGTATACAAACAGGGTGTTATAAGGCAAAAACGTCCCTAAAAAAACTTAATTTTTCTGTTTTTTCACTATTTTATCATCATCATCATTCCTCATAAACTCAGAAGACACGTGTAGGTTCACTGGAGTAAATAAAATGTCTGTATTTGTGTTGTAGTTACGGTGACCCCTATCACCACCACTGTAAAGAAATCTGAACCATTTCACACCAAACCACTCTGAAGCACTCTGTTTACATCTCAAACACTGAATTATGCAGCATTATTGAAAAATCTTTGTAATTCACCTTTAACATTCAAGTATTAAAGAAATATTTAAAGTTTTGCATCTCAGGCTTTTGGTGTTTAGTGTTTCACCTCTTTTCTGTTATGTTTTCTGTTGTATTTGCTTGTATTCCGTGTCTCTGATCATTTGCTCACGCCTGGCTGTGTCCGGTGTCTCTCAGAACCCTCGTGTCTCTCTCTGTTTGTCCATCTGTTTGGGTTCACTGTGTTCGCGGCCCTCCACCTGTCCACTGCAGGGTGGGAAAAGGCTAGGGAAGTGGATTAGCCCGCTGCGTCTGTCAGTCCAGACATTTACCTACAACAATTTCCACTTAAAACAAAACAGGCACAGATGAATGAGAGATGAAGCTGCAATTGTTAATTCTGGTTCTCCAGGTAGAGCCACAGGTGGCCCATTTCTCTCTTCAGAGTTCATCAGGCTCACAGTCTGGCTTTAGCTCTGCTAATCTGATCTAATGCATTAACCTGCCTAGTATGGCTGTCATTTATGACAGATAGACACGTCTGTGGTCTTGTGACCGCAAGTTATTTTATCCTTTATAAAAAGCCAAGCAGGTCAAACGCTGGACCTCTCTGACTCAATTTAAACCATTCCTTTTGTCAGAGGGTTCAGTCCAGTGACAAATCAAGAGTTTGATATGTTTGACTGAATCAATCAAGCCAAGGTGCTCATCAGATGAATGAGGTGGTGAGAAGCAGGAATGAAGAAAGAAAGAAAGAAAGAAAGAAAGAACAAAAATGAAAGAAAAGAGATGATAAACAATTTGACATACTGTATGCACTGCCACTTAAAGATTTGTACAGGTGTGCCAAAGACATACATCAGTATAATGCTGGGTAATTTACCACAACAAGATGATTATAATGATTCAGAAATGTATGAACAATTCAGTCATAATTTGATGTGTGAGTGTGTGTGTGTGTATGTGTGTGTGCAGTGTGAATGATATGCATGAAGGAGTAGTTTGGCGTGAAATCAAATTTACATAATTTTCTGCTTACGCTAGATGTAGTTGTCAGCCAGGACATGTTTGTTGTCCAAATTTTACTTCTTACAGACATTCTTTGTAAAATAAATGCATGACCACAACACACTAAAGCATTAAAACGGGATCTTAATGTGTGGCCATGACTTAGTAAGGCACAGGAATTAGATAATCAAGCTGTGGCTGTGGTTAAGTAAGGCACAGGAATTACATAGTTAAGCTGTGGCTATGATTTAGAAAGGCATGGGAATGAGATTGTTAAACTGTGGCTATGATTAAGTAAGGCAC